AGATAGATAGATAGAGAGAGAGAGAGAGAGAGAGAGAGAGAGAGAGAGAGAGAGAGAGAGAGAGAGAGAGAGAGAGAGAGAAGATAAAAGGAGAGAGATAGAGTGGAGAGACTTTTATTCCTAATCAAATCATCTCCCCGTAGTAGAAGTCAAATGTCGGTCACCCATCCCATAGTAGTAGCAGCCAAATATCGGTCACCCATCCCATAGTGAAAAATCCGCTAAGTATGACCCAGACTACTTCAATCTTACATGAACTAGACAATGAGAAGATTGAGCTAGTGAAAAGGCACATACACATGGAAGTGAGACCAACTAAGTATGAACCGGAACAACACAACATACATGAACTTGAAAATAAGAAGCTAGAACTAGTGAAAGGCACTTGCACATGGAGGACATATCAACTAAGTATGAACCGGAACATCACACCACACATGAACTTGACAATGAAAAACTTGAACTAGTGAAGGACACATGCACATGGAGGAAAAATCAACAAAGTATGAACCTGAATATCTCATCATACATGAACTTGACAATGAGAAGATTGAACTAGTGAAAAGGCACATGCACATAGAGGAGAGATCAACTAAGTATGAACCGGAACATCACAACATACATGAACTTGACAATGAGAAGCTACAAATAGTGAAGGACACTTGCACATGGAGGAGAGATCAACAAAGTATGAACCGGAACATCACAGCATACATGAACTTGACAATGAGAAGATTGAACTAGTGAAAAAGGCACATGCACATAGAGGAAAGATCAACTAAGTGTGAACCGGAACATCACAACATACATGAACTTGACAATGAGAAGCTAGAACTAGTGAAAGACACATGCACATGGAGGAAAGTTTAACTAAGTATGAATCGGAACATCACATCACACATGTACTTAATAATGAGAAGATTGAACTAGTGAAAGGCATATGCACATAGAGGAAAGGTCAACAAAGCATGAACCAAAAAATCACAACATACATGAACTTGAGAATGAGAAGATTGAAATACTGAAATGCACTTGCACATGGAGGAGATATCAAGTATGAATCGGAACATCACATCACACACGGACTTGATAATGAGAAGATTGAACTAGTGAAAGGCATATGCACATAGAAGAAAGATCAACTAAGTATGAACCGGAACATCACAACATACATGAACTTGACAATGAGAAGCTAGAACTAGTGAAAGGCACATGCACATGGAGGAAAAATCAACTAAGTATGAACCGAAACATCACAACACACATGAACTTGACAATGAGAAGCTAGAACTAGTGAAAGGCACATGCACATAGTGGAAAGATTAACTAAGTATGAACCGGAACATCACAACATACGTGAACTTGACAATGAGAAGATTGAATTAGTGAAAAGGCACATGCACATAGAGGAGAAATCAACTAAGTATGAACTGGAACATCACAACATACATGAACTTGACAATGAGAAGCTAGAACTAGTGAAAGGCACATGCACATGGAGGAAAAATCAACTAAGTATGAACCGGAACATCACAACACACATGAACTTGATAATGAAAAGCTTGAACTAGTGAAGGACACATGCACATGGGGGAAAGATCAACAAAGTATGAACCGGAACATCTCAACATACATGAACTTGACAATGAGAAGATTGAAC